TGTGGATCAACTTCACCTTGTGGTGACCATCACTAATCCTTGGAGATTTTTTATCTTTAATGTTTCCAGAATGTCGGAGAAAATTAACAAGTAATTGTTTATAAAAAATTGAATCAAAAAATACTTATCAGACACGAGTTTTTGAAATCTAAAAAACGGTTTTCAAGCTACAGAAGTTCAAAAAATATAGTTTTGAGTATACTGTGGTTTTGTGAAAGAATAATTTGCAGTTTTACATTTTCTGCTAGATACCTGCTCGCAAACGTTCTTTTTTGCCCGAGAATCTTTTACTAATTATCAAATAGCTGGAAAAGAATTAGTCGATTTTTCTTGAAATTTAGAGAATGTTTATAAGATATTACTTTTTTAAACTCTGACTACACCTTTAAGGGAATCTCGACAGGCAATTTAGAATTGATATATATCTGGATTGCTAGCAATATTGCTAATGTTTAACAATCGATGTCTAAATATATTGCATGCCATTCATTGCTAGCAATGTACTGTAATTGTGATGCTTCGACAGAGTGGTTTTGATTTCCATAAAAATTTGGAAGAAATTTTGAGGTTGATATCAAATGCCGGCTCAAGGACATTGTGAACACCAATGGCAATGTATTTGACAGATTGTTAGCAATCCTTTAAAATCATATAATATAAATCTAATTTAGGACTAAACGAATCTTTCTGCCCCATATCCCATGATTTTACTTCTCATGCAGATTTGATTTATCAAACCCAAGTATCATTAATGAAATTATAACATAGATATTTTTTCTCCTAATAAAATCAGTAGGTTTTTACTCTAACTTAACCTTAAATGGTTGCTGTGAAATTTTGTTTTTCCGTAGATAAGCAGTTTTAAATCTCCATCTAATCCCCGTTTGGGTGGTAAGGGTCAGGGTCAGGGGGGCCCAGGAAACGTGCTATTTCGACGGGGTCCGACCAAAGGGAGGAGGGAGTTAGATGAGTAGGGTTTGTAGGGCATGTAAAGAGGTGGCCAGTATTATGCGAGGGCTCGTTGAAAACAGGACATACATTGGCATGTCTGGGTCAATTCTGGATAAGTAGGAGTTTAACCTGTTACAGTATCCAGAACGAAGTTGCGCTAGGGTCACTCGCGTTTCTCGCGAAACTGGAGCTCTTCGTCTGCAATAGGTGGTGGTTTGACTACAAGAACGCTATTCACGTGGAGGGAGTCGGTGAAGGTGTTGATGGCTCCACTGTGAATGGCGGTCAGAACCTGTCGAAAGTCAGTTGCGTCCGAAGTCAGGTCGGCGTACTGTACGACGTTGTCGACGTAGTCAAGGAAGAACCTTTTGATGCTCCTGGGAGGCGGTTCCGCTCCAAGCAGATTGCTGCAAGGGTGATTCCTTCGGAAACATCCTAGTAGGAACTGTTTGGAGAAGGGTTCGTTATGCTCCTTTATAGGAAGCATAAACGTCTCACTGTGGATGTGTTCTATGGGATACATCAAAAGGCATTCCGTCGTTGTCGCGGTCGTATGAGGAGGGAAGGATCATAGACTATTGAAGGTTACGCCTAAAATCTTAGGGTTATTGACAGTCGGATTTTGACGCCATCGACTTTAATATTGCAGCTCAAGTCTATGCTCCTTCGTCCAGTTCGTGAATATGGTAGCTGTGGATTTGGTGGGGGGAAAGTAGGTAGTTGTTTATCTTCAAACACATGCCAACGATTCTATTGCCTGACGTCATTATCGTACAGTGATCGGCGTACGAGGTTATGGAAACCCCCTCTGGTGGTTGTGGGAGTTTCGAGATGTAGAAGTTAAACAGTAGCGGAGAGAGGACATCAGTCTTCTCAAGTTAGGTGTTTCACCTCGAAATAGTATGGATGACTGACGACCGTTCAGATAATTCATGGTCCACCTCTTTAGCCCAGGAGGAAGCGTAGTTTTTTTGATGTCCTGCAGTAGCGTTTTGTAGTTGACTGTGTCAAAAGCTTTTGGCAAGTCCAACGCTACGAGGATCGTTCTCTCACAGGGTGGTTTCTGGTTAAGGCCACGAATTATCTGAGCGTTTATGACGCTAAGGGCTGTGGTGGTGCTGTGTACCTTTCGGAATCCATGCTGGTGACTGGCTAGGCTCAGGTGGTGAGTGAAATTCGGGAGTAGCAAGGCCTCAAGCGTCTTCACTACTGGGGAGAGGAGAGTTATCGGGCGATAAGATTCCCCTTTGTTGGCGGGTTTCCCAGGTTTCAGTAGTGGGACCACTCCTTAGATTTTCCACACATCGGGTATTTGAAGAGTGGTCAGTGACAGGTTGAGGTCCTTGGTGAGGTAACTTACTCCCGTCGAGCCTAGATGCTTTAGCATTAGCATGTTGATTCCATCAGTGCAGTGTAAACTGCCGGCTAAAATAGCTCGCGCAGGTCCTCGCTTTCCGAAGAGGCATGATCATTGAATTGAACTTTAACTCGGTCGTCATGTCTTCGGATTAGACAAAGCTTTGACAGTAGCCCAAAGCTTACTCATACCGGTGGAGAGGTTGCGGGACTTCATACCCGGTTTACCATACGCCGAATCTCCAAATTGAGATCCCTTATTCGGGGATCCCCGGGATCGGCATGGCGTAAGGTGTTGCACTCGTTAGCTAAAACGACCGCTTCGGCTGGTAAATTGGGGCGGATTTCCGCTATTCTTCCAGCCGGGATGAAGCGAGCGGTAGCTGCTGCGATCACCTTGCGGAATTGACGTTCGCCAACGCATACGTCCATAGGAATAGGTAGAGCGTTGAAGGTTCTCTCGGTAAATTCTGTGAAGCCGACCCAATTAGCTTTTTTAAAGTTAATGTAGGTGCGGTTGTCCACAGAAACGAAATCGGGAGGTTCTCGATCGAGATAATTATGGGCAGATGGTCTGATGCGAGAGTTAGCATAGGTCGCCAGGTTATGCTATTTATCAGACCAGCGCTAGCAATGGTAATATCAGGCGAGCACCTTTAGTGCCCATAATTCTGGTGGGGGGCTTGTTGTTGTTGTTGTTGTTGTAACGGCAGAATTCTGCCGAGTAGACAGTCCTTGGCCGGATAAAAATACAGGTCCGTTCCGGTTTTCGTAGACCCGACTGTCGTGGGAACGGTCTGGTGGGGTCTTCGTCATTCATTGTCAATCTGTTCCGGTACGTAGAACCGGCTGTCGTGGGAATTCTCTGGCCTCTCATGGTTTGGCTAATTGCACACCTCGGATGCGGATTGCATCCCTCGTATCGGTCTTTAGGAAGGAGGCTAATCGTTGAGTTATTATCTATTTATTTATTAGAACAAATAATGTCAATCGGCTGTAGACATTTTATTTAGGAAATTAAAAAAAAACGAGATCGGATTTTAAGTGTCATAAAAACATGATGAATATAAGTTACCAACTAAAAATTTAGGTTTAATCGAAAATATAATTTATTGTATAATATGTTCAAATGTCTCCATTCGCAGCGTTGCAGTTTTCGTGTGGCACGAATAAAGAGTTATTAAAATATGGATTCGGATGATTCAAATGCCGGGTCTTCGGTGTCAAACTCATCATCATCATCAACGGAGAATTCACGATCTTCAGCGGAACCAGTAAATGAAATTACGAATGCACCCAATATAGAGGCAATTGATAATGCGGAAGAGCGAGAACTATCAAGGACAAATTCTCGTTGCTCCAATCATTCTTCTTCAAAATCTGACTTTAATTCGTCATCATCTTCTTCGTCTAGTGATAATGAAAATGATGGCATTAAATCACCACTAGATAATTTATCGAACAGAAGTAAGTTCTAGTATTTAACATACTTAGTAGATGCACATACGCATAGTAAGTCTTAAGAAATGTTACAGTATTTTTAATACATTTCAAATTATTTTATTTCGGTTTTATGAAAGCGAAACGGTTAGAATCAGGGGCCAGTTTCTATGAAATGTGTTCTTTATTTTGTCAATTTGAGTCAAAAGTGTGTAAACTTTCTCGTTCAAAATATATAGTATATTCCTCTCTTTTTTATGTACATATAACGGATTAAAACTTTGTATAAATAAATTGACAAAAAAAAGGAAATGGATAAATTAATGATGGTTTAAAAGTAAATATGTGGACACTTACAATCCATTTTTTAAATAACTTTATGCAATTCTAAAATTGCTTACTTCAAAGAGAAATATGTTTTTTTTGCATTGAAAATTAAGAGTTTAAAATAAAAATTAAATATCTCCGGCAACCGGACACTGACAGATCTACAATTTTGGTCCGTTTATACTAGGAGTGGACGAATATAAATTTGATTTTTTAGTCAATAAAATTTTCTTAAATAAATTAGGGTTTTTGGTAATTTAGTTAACATATTTCACTTTTCCTGCGAGATGTATCATAGTTACAACAAATTTTATTTTGTGTACGTACCATTTGATTGAGTTAAAAAAAAAAATAATTTATCGTATATTGTCACAACTTTCCTTGATTCTATATGCCAGTATTAATGACTTCTGTATTAACATTTTCGTCGATTAACAAAAAATCGTTTGAATACTGACCTTTCAGATTTGCATTTGAATGCTTTATCAAAGCCAATAACGTCGATATATGAATATTTTTGAAAACCAGTTTTTAATTATTTTGATCCTTAAGTTGTCCAATGCAGTCTTAATAAAATAAACAGCCTCCAAAATGTCAAATGTTTTTTGAAATGTCTTATTCTTGTCAAAACATGCTTCATAATATGCATCTGTAATATCACTTAAAATTTTGTATAATACCGTGATTGAATTGTTTGTGAATTTTTTTTAAATAGTCAGTTAGTTACATAGTATATACAGTGATGTGCGAGGAAATAGAGCCAGTACTATCGAAATTACTTAAATTAACAAATCATATAAAAATTCACTTTTTTCATTTATTTCTTTAATAGGTAAAAAAGAACAACCTATGAGACGTATATTAAAAACAAATTAAACAGCTTAAGTATAAAACATAAACGAAAAAATTCAAAATTCATTGGTATTTCTTATTTCGGCTGTGACTTGAAATAGAGCCAAAAGTAATTATTCAATTTCAGTCGTATCTCATGACCTGAAATCAAAAATTTGTATGAAATAATTAAAAGAAACGATGCAACTATGTTAAATCTTACTTCAATATTTAGTGCAGTATGCTTTATTTTTTATAACTGCTGAGCAACGCCTGGGCATCGAATCCACTAGATTCAGGCACTTAGCAGCGGGAATTTGCTCCCATGCGTCGTTCACTAGTTTCCAAAGGGCATCTTTATTTGTTGGATTTTTTCCTCTAAGAGCCACTTTAACCTCTCGCCACAAATTTTCAATTGGGTTTAGATCTGGCGACTGTGGCGCCAGCATAGAACTTGGATGTTATTTTGACTAAACCATTCTGTTGCCCGTTTCGATGTGGGTTTTGGGTCGTTGTCTTGCTGGAACACCCATAGAAGCGGCATATTAAGCTCTGTGTAAGGCAACATAGTTTCATTGTAAATTCTAGTGCACTGCAAGGCATCCATTGTACCTTCTATCCGAAATAGAGGAYCAGTCCCATAATAAGAAAAGTACCCCCATACCATTATACTCCCACCGCCATGTTTTACCGTTTTTTCAGCGTGTTGAGGGCAGAATTCGGTATTGGGGGGCCTTCGCACAGTAAGGCTGCCTCGGTCAGTGTTAAATAAATTCACTTTTATTTTATCTGATCAAAGAATGTTTCGCCACTTGCTCGCTGGCCAGTTCACATGATCCTCGACAAATTTTAATCGTTTTTTTACGTTTTCTTTGTTTAGAAACGGAAACGTTCGAGCTTTTTTAGCCTTTAAACTCTCTTTGATTAAGAGTTTTCTAATTGTTGAAGTATCCACATCCAAAGAAAACTGTTTTTTGAGTGCGGAAGTGGTCACAAATGGATCTTTTTTAACGTAACGCAGGATACGCCTTCGCAAAACCTCGTTTTAAACCATTTTTTTGAGCAGCCACTAATCCAGCTATTTCTCTTTGACTTTTGCCTTGCTTTCTAAATTTTTTATAAATTTTCTGCATTCAGGGCTGCAGTGTTTGGCTCTACCCTATTTTAGATCTTAAAAGAATTAAACACCCAAATTTACTCCAAATTCAAAAAACTAGAAACCTTTACACACGTTTGCCCATAAATTATATTGTATAAATATGTTTTAATGTCACTAAAAGTTTTACTTTATCGGTTGGCTCTATTTTAACGCACACGTTGCTGCACAATTAATAGCACATTTTCACTGATTTGTTAAAAATGAACTAGAAGTTGAATTCGGAAGTAACGGGAAAATATACACAGACGATGTGAGTACTGAACTACAATTAGTTCATGGCATGTTAGATTCTTAAAAAAAAATTAAGTGCAATAATATCATCAGAAAATGTATGGCTTTATTTCATCGCACATCACTGTATGTGTTCATTGAAATAGTAGTGCTGGTGGTTTCTAAATATAAGATAATAAAAGGTTAAAAATCTAAACTAAAAGTAATTTTTAGCCATTTTTATGCATATACAGAGTTTTGTTTTCACTATATACATATGTATTTTTTACTAACAAGATTTACAAAAAAAAAAAATTAGTCTGTTCACGAAAGCAGTAGTGACTACTTTGTAGAAGAAAAAACAAAAAACGAGTTCACATTTAAAATGTCATATACTAAATGTTGTTGTAGCGACAGGAAACATTTCATCTTTGTCCGTTCCGATTATTTAGACCCGACTGTTGTGAAACGGTCATGTAGTAAATATTTTCGATTGACTAATAAGTGATTTAAAGCCTTTATATGTTTAATAGGTACATCCATACACCGACGTTCTGTAAAGTCTTTTATATCATGATATCCGCCCATGGGGATTTCATCCCACGGCTTCCTTACAACTGTTCCACTTGATGGATTTGCTGTTGCTACAATTAGTTTAATAACACTACCATACATTTTCGATCGGATTCAAGTTCAGTGACTACGCTGGTTACATATGACCCCGATCCTTACCAATGCATAGTTTTCATCTCTATGATCTCTATCCATTTTGTAGATGGCCAATTGTAATGTCCTTTTGCGAACTTTGTTCTTGCAGCCACATGTTTTTTCGTCAAAAGAGGTACGGCGACACTTTATCTGCAAATTATTTTCCAATAGTCTTCTACGATTTGTAGAAGTAGTAACCAACGAGCTTAAACAACTTTTTTTTACATATCGTGCACATGTAATGCAGTAAAATACAATATTAAGCGAAAAATCGCGAGGGGAAATGTAAAAAATCCATATTAGGGGCAGACAGCTCTTTGAATAAGAGACAGCTCTAATATGGATTTTTTACATTTCCCCTCGCGAAATCGCTTAATATTGTATTTTATTGCATTAAATGTGCTAAAGCTTCGATTCTCCATATGTTCTCTTAAATTTCCTCAGCTTCACTACAAATACATGCTTCCTGTTAGAACAATGTCTTATTTTTTCCAATAAATTGTTTGTTGGAAAGGTATTGAATTCCTTAAATACATTTACTTATCGTAACTGTTTATTCAGTATATGCAGAAGCATCTTTAAATATAAGAAGTTGTTGCACTACTATTTTCATGAACACACCTGTAGCTACTCGTTTAGTTATTCAATCGTTCCACTATAATTTATTGATTTTTAAACCCCTTTTTCGACAAGGTTAAATTTAATTTTAAGGTTTCGGAGTTTTACATTCCAAATTATATGATAAAATAATGTTTATTGAATTTTCGTTTTATAAGTTTGATATTTTCTTTGAATATAAGGAAGCCATTCTGAGTCACCGCAGCCCACGAAGTCTCCACGGAGCTCGAGACATTCAAGTGTAACATCAAATAGCAGTCGCAGTAATAGTCCAAATTCTAATTTCCGAAATAGCGTGCAAAATATAAGCCACGAGGAATTGAGTGATGTGAGCGATATGGAGAGTGAAAAACGTGAATCTGTTTTGAACAGTAGTAAGCCATCTGTAGAGGACGAAGTTACAAACGTGTCTTCAGCATCAATTAATTTAGATCAAGAAGGTCACAAAGAAACCAATTCAGAACTAATATACTCTTTGGAAAACGAAAATAGCCAGAATGCTGTTATAACCGATTTGCGCCAAAAACTAGATTTAATTAAAACTCAAGGAAAGGTACTTCTAAATGTAGCACTTTTATTTATGGAATTGTTAAGATTTAAATAATTATTTCAACTTGTAATTTTATTACGTAATAACGTCGATTCTCTGCACAGTTACATTAGAAATATAATTTATATTCGTAAAATTTTTTCATTTTGTTTTTATATACATACATATGTATGTTATTGCTTTAGATCAGCTCAAGTTTTGATTTAACAATTTCTTTTTAAATTTTCTTAATTAATAACTTATGATTTTATTGAATTTCTTAATCTATTATTTTAAGACTAGCGAAACGTCAAAAGTAATTGATGGAAATACCAATTTGGCTGAAATTGAGAGGCAAACTGATCCGATAGAAGTATTGGTCAAACCCAATGATGAAGATGCTTTGGACTTTGAGGCTGAAGAAGGTGAATGCCAAGACATAAGTAAAGATGATGAGAAGCTTGTAGATGAACAGGAAAGTAAACCAAGCAATGATAGGGTAAAAAATTCAAAATCTGATGGAGAAGCAGATGATGGAGAAGAGTTAGAAGAAGGAGAGGTGTCAGATGAAGATGAGAAACGTCCGGAAGAGACGGAACCCAAACCAGTGTGTCGTTTTTATACACGTGGTCAATGTACATGGGGAATGAGTTGTCGTTTTCTTCATCCTGGTGTAACTGATAAAGGAAATTATACCATGTTTGATTTAGTACGCCCCGTTCCCGTAACACAAACAGGTTCGTCCGCTTCCCGGACCTCAAATTATCCAACGCATACAGTTGATTATCATGATTTTCGCACCGATCGTCCAGCATTGCATCACCGTTTAGGTTTACAGCATCCACCTTCAGCTTACGGTGCACACCATGACCCAAGAACCGCAACAACTGATGCTCCTGTCGTTATAGAAAGTGCTTGGGAACGTGGATTGAGAACAGCGAAAGAAATGATGCGCAAGGCAAATAAGCGGAAAGAGCAAGATATGGATTTCGAGGACAAGAAAATGAATTTGACTCTATCTCCAGATGAAATAGAAAAAGACGCGTACTATTTGAAGGAAAGAAGTTCTCCTCAAGATGTAAGTAACCAGTGAAATTGTAAAATGCAAAAATTACTAATTTTTTAATGCACAGATTGCTCCATCCTATGGTCGACATAGTTTATATCAAGAACCACTAGGTATGTACAGTCCTACTGAGCGTTTTGCACGAGGACCGCCATTACCAGCCGCATATGATGACGTGGATTCGTATGGTCGTTCTACAAGATATCGTGAGTTACCTCCTCATCGCATGCCACAATACGAAGATGACAGACGAGTACGCCCTACTCGGGAAGTAATTGTACAGCGTGTTGAGCCCGTCGGTCGTGGGGATGAATGGCGTGACCCTTGGATGAGATCACCAGGCCTGCGTGGAGAATCTCGAGACCATAGTAGTAAACGTCGCCATGATCGGCGTAGTTATAGTACCAATTCCTCATATTCATCTTCAAGCAGTTCCCGATCTGATACAAGTTCAGAAAGTAGTCGTTCGTCTACACCGACAGGACACAGACGACATTATAACAGTTCTCATAAAGCATCGCCTGCACGTAGGCATGGAATACGGTCTGCTCGATCCCCTAGTATGCCTCGCCGCCCACGTCACTCTCCAAGTGAGTAAACATATAGTATATTCCTCTTTTAAAGGTTTGTATCCAGCTCTTAAGTAATTGCTTCAAAAAAAAAAAAAAAAAAAAAACATTACATTACGACATTAGAAGAGCAAGAGAGAATAAATAAAGAAAATAAACATTCCTTAACAGGTTCCGTGTCCAATGTATCACATGTGATACAAAATTATTTTCTTGTACCATGTGTACAGCGTCCATGTATCATATATGAAAAAATTTTTGGTTGATTTGAAATAAGTTTATTAAATGACACGTTCGTGTATCATAGCTGATACAAATTTTTTGTTACCGTTATATCGCTGTCAAAATGTGTGGGATAGTTCAAAAATTCATCGATAACCTCTAAAAACACCTACAGCAATATAATTTCAAAAATAAGTGTTGCACGTGTACCGTTAAAAATTAATTTTTGTATGGGGACGCAATGAAAATATGTTACTACATACATACATAAGCACAAAGTTTATTTTTTTGTGTGTTGTCTTGCTCTTATAATGTGGATCATTCACAATGCGTTACCAGCTGTACAACTTGCTTGAAGAAATAATGCATTTTTTTGAGCAATTACTTGAGAGCTAAATACCAGCCTTAAGAATAGTAAGTAATATTTTAATTTTTTCGAAACAAGAAGAAAAAGCAAAGATTTTTCAAATCACTTTTAGAAAATTTTAAAATTGCTTTTTACGTCTTCATCATTTAAAAAATAACAATTATGGGCTAAATCAGAGTTCACAAATCATATTTTCATCATGTGCATATTTTTTATTGAAACTATACATCTTACGGTTCCACTTGGACATCAAAGGAATTTCTATGGTACTTCAAAACATCCTCTTTGCTATTGCAAAACCTGTTTAAAACTAATTATGTGTGGAAAATTAATAAAATGATTGTGAAATTTTTATTGTATTATTTAATTTTGTTCTGTGAATAATATATTGCTTATTTTCGAAAATTTGAAAATCCAATTAAAAATCTTGATTCGAAATTATAATTAAATATAATTAGTGCTTAGGACTGAAGACTAGGCAACAAGTTAAGAATAAACTGAATAAATATAAAACTTTCTTTTACATAAGGTGTTGGAAACAAATAATTTAAAGCTGAGCTTTTGCACTTCAGCAATATTCTATGATGTGCGCTTAAAAGTATACCTCAATTTCAGGTACTCGACATTCTCCCAATGCTAAGAGAAAAGCTACAATATCTCCTACCATGGAAAAAAGAAGTGCATATAGCCCAATGCATAAACGAAAGAAAACTGCAGCACCAACGAAAAAATCGGACAAATCGAAATCTAGACATCGGGTAACATCGAGCTCCTCTGGATCAGGTAGTTGACATAACTTTGTATACCTAAATTTGTTAGCCTTAAATATGCTTCTATATACAGTACCTAGCAACTTCGAGTAAATGCTCCGACATTTTGTTTTAAAGCTATACAACAATATTTAAACGTAACTAAATTCAATCAAATTTTTAGTGTTTTATTTTTAAGCTAGGCCTAAACCACGGCTGCTCTCGCGTTGAATTTGGGACTGACAATATATTTTTATTGCGTGTTTATCAATCATATTACGTACACAACTCAAATTGTGATTAAACTTTTTCTCAACAATGTAGTTATTCCGTTATTTTTTTGTTATGAATGGCTGTACGTCGTTCACCCATCATCTACCAAAGTAGCCACAATGCCTGGGGTTGTATCTTCTTCTTTACTGGCGCGGAAACCGCTTACGCGGTTATAGCCGAGTTAACAACAGCGCGCCAGTCGTTTCTTCTATTCGCAAGGTGGCGCCAATTGGAGATGTCAAGCGAAGCCAGGTCCTCCACCTGGTCCTTAAAACGGAATGAAGGTATTCCTCTTTCTCTGCAGGTACTGCGTCGAATACTTTCAGAGCTGGAGTGTTTGCGTCCATTCGGACAACATGACCTAGCCAGCGTAGCCACTGTCTTTTAATTCGCTGAACTATGTCAATGTCGTAGTATATCTCGTACAGCTCATCGTTCCATCGAATGCGATATTCGCCGTGGCCAAAGCGCAAAGGACCATAAATCTTTCGCAGTACTTTTCTCTCGAAAACTCGCAACGTCGACTCATTATTTGTTGATATCCTCCATGCCTCTGCACCATATATCAGGACGGGAATAATAAGGACTTTACTTCTCAATTGCCTACTTTCTCACTTGCCTTCTTCACCTGACCATGCCTATGCGAATTTCAGTTTTGATATTATCCAAAAAACGCCTTATTCATATATGTGTAAACAAAAATTACTGTACCCTGGCTGTACCTGTGTGATTTTTTTTTCTTTTTTTGAAGTAAAAAAAAATCAAATGATTATTATATGAATACTGAACACATGCATACGGAGTCAAATATATTTTTTATACATGAATTTGTTATACTTTTAATAAAA